CCCTGCCATGCAACTTTGGGCAAGTTATTCTTTAAACCAGTCTCTCATTTTAAAAATAGGGAGTATGATAGTACCTAGGGGCCATGAGGTTTGTTATAAGGACTCATAACCTAAGGGTGCAAAAACTCTTTGCACAGTGTCTGGTGTATAGTAAGGGCTCAATCAGCAGCAGATAATCCTTTTGTTATAAAAAATTAACATTTGCATGGTCATAATTAAAAATGATCATGAATAATCAATACTTTCATTTTATCACTCTCACCAGAATACCATGCCTCTAACAATCCAGTAAGTTAGAAGCGAGAACTGGAGAAAGAAGCAGTATTCACTGCAAAACAAGACAGTATTCTTCATAAATGCCACATTTTCTTTTTATTAAAAAGGAAAAGGAAGCAAGAGTAGCTAAGTTCCCTTACTCAAGCCTTCACGCCTTGTTTGTCTTGTCAGGGTAATGGAACCAAGGTTTGAGATGTGGGTAGAACAACAGTCATTTCCCCATGTTGTCTCATTATGCATGGGATGGTTCCATCTTGCAGCTTACATAAAACATACTGTCCTGGGAACAATGAGTGAGTCTGACATTTCACTGGGGCAAAAGACTCGTATCACAGCTAACAATATTTGTGGGCCAGGAGTGGATCACAAAGTGATTTCTCTTCTCCCAAGTCCTCATTCATTCAGAATTTGCTGATATAATTTATTCACCCAATGTTCATTGATTGAGGACCATCACCTGCCAAGAATTCTGCAAGGAGCTGGAGGTATCTTGAATACTACAGTTGGGGCACTCACAGAGATTAGCCGTGGGAGGGAAGCCAACATTCACTAAAGGGATGCAGAATTTCAAACTGAGCCAAGAAACAGTTCTTTAAAAGTGTAAAACCTCTCCCAGCCTGCAATGTCAGCAAAGACTTCCCTGAGTAAGTGACACAAGAACTGAGTGGAAATCTCTTGGAACCACATTTCCCAGATTCCTTTTAGGGCAGGTCTGGTTAGATCCTGCCAATGAGAGGCACCTGTGTGAAATTTGGAGCTCTCTCCAAAGACTTTAAATCTTAACCAACAGCGTGATGTAAGAGCAGTGGGAGGAGGGTGAAGGGGAGCCATCAGCAGAGAAGATGCCTGACCAGACATTCTTGGTTATAAGATCATGGCACTCTCTCCTTTCTCTTGGTCTCCTACAGCTGTCCTGGTTCTTGATCATTCTTAATCTGGTTCTACCAGTCAGATACTGGGGCTCTGGGTATCTGCCATAAACTCCCTTTTGCTCAAGGTAGTCAGAATAAGCTTCTGCTGTTTGCACCCATCAAGCAGTTTGCGTCTGGTAATACATCATGTTGCTCTCCATTATGCATGTCTATCTCCCCAACCAGACTGTCAGCTTCCGGAAGACTGGAGAATGTCTTATTTCTCTTATAATTTGCCAATAATAAGTATAAAAGTGCAACTGGATGTTTAAACACCAAGAAAGAGCTCAGTTCAGTCAAAGTCCTCCATAACTTACAATAACTTTACACTAACATGGAAATCTCTATGTTCTATAATCATCTCCTCAGATACTGTTTTTTGATAAACTTCATGAAGAAACCCAGTATGCTAGTAACCATACTCCCGTAGCATCCTTACCTCTGAGATTATCGTCATTCAGGATTTTCACCACCACACTTCCAAATGGGTAGAATAAAGCTGCTGAAGTGGGCAGGTCCATAGATGCCACCCCCAGAAGCCAATTCCACTCACCTCTCCCTGCCCTTTCCAACCCACAGGGCAATCTATGAAGCCCAGTATGAAGATAGTGAACTTGGCTTCCAGAGAAATCACCATCTGTTTTTCTACCCCTAATAAATAAAGTACCTCTGCTCTATAAAGTGGGACTGAGACCTAGAATGAAAATGGAGATAGAATTTTTGTCCAATTTAATGGCTTTTTAAAAATTTCTTGGGTAGTAAGTTTATGTTGCATGAGCTACATAACAGTCTGAATTTGATCTGGTTCAAATAATGCTACCATGTCCTATAACCCTGGGCATTATATACTTTCCAAATGTACAATGTCATCAAGGTTTTATGACATTTCCTACAAAAACTCAATAGTCAGATAGCACTTCATCAACTGAAGTCTGAATTCAGGTATGAGAAGAGAATGCAAAGGCTGCAGCTTGAAAACTGTAGTGTTCCTCTGACTTCAGCATCCCAGCCGTAAGAGGATAATCCACTGAACAATTTTCATACATGCACATTTTTGTCCCCTACTAAAACAACTTCATATCTGGGAATTACGGAGTAGAGCCAAAAATCCATGCTTGATGACTGCTGTTTTCCTACAAAAGCTTGCTCAGAGATATTCTGTCACCTGGGATTCTCTGTTTATTCAACTTCACTTCCTCCTCAAGTAACAACATGCTTAGAGCATTGTGTCCATGCCTGCTGCCTAGACATGTGACCTATTCATGTGGCTTATGGAGGATACAGATTTCTGAGACCCAGGGCTCTGAAGGCAAGACTGACAGATACGAGGTGCAAGCCTAGCTTTGCCAGGTTAAACACGGCTATGAAAGGAGCATACCCATTTCTATTGGCATCAAAACGCAGTGCTGGTTCCCAAAGAGTCTATAAGAAAGAAATATTAAGTAATACTACATGTCTGACACTGACATAAGTTTATTATTTCTTCCATGCCAACACACCCTAATCCAAAACTTATGCTGTTCCAATCCAGGCCTGCCCTAAAACAGCCAATTATGCTGAATGTGGTCAAAACTCGAAGGAGTCTCCAGTCCCAAAGACAATGTTTCATCGGCCCATTAGCTTCTGTATTAGTTCCACATTTTGAGTAGGTTTCTGAATTGTGTGCAATACTTCTTTGGGGATTATCTCTCCTTTACATTGCAGGTATAATAGAACTCCTGCCCCTTCACTATGTTGCCAGTGGTATTATTTCCTCCTCAAATGGATTCGTTAACACTCAGTGAAAAAAAAACTTGAAGAGCCTCTCTGAATACACATGAAATATTTCCTAATCCATTATCTAGGTGGCTTAAATAAGTGGTGTTATAATCATGTTGCCCAAAGGAGCCATAACATACAACAGGCTTTGTTCTAGAACTTCCAAACTAGTTCTCAAAACTTTGAGCCTTGCTATTGGGGCAAAGTATAAAATTTTGCAAAATGCGCACATCAGCAAATGTCTTTTGTCACTTATGCAGTGAAAGTACCTTCCCAAATTCTTTACCAAGAACATCAATGCCATTTATTCCTCAAGAATAAGAACACTTAGTCTTAACTCCTTATAAAACAAGCAATTGTGATGTTCTTCATTGATTGACACCTGGTGTCATTATCATAAAACTTGAGGTCCAAAGGAAAATGAGGCTTATTCTCTTAAATTGCAATGACCATTTTATTCTATTCTCTCAAAGACAAAAAACCAAAAAACGTGCATCTAGGTTGCTTGACCTTGGGCAAGCCTACCATAGGCTTCAGTGTCCTTGTTTCCTGGAGTTAAGAACTATACCTGCTTCACAGGATTATGGACAAAAATAAGTAAACAGTGCATGTAACAAGCATAGCAAAATATCCAGCATACAGTGTTCAACATAAATTAAAAAAATGTCAGCTTTCATCATTATTCACTGCCGGGGATTTTAAGTGAAAAGTTTTCTTTCGAATCCTTAGTACCTGCCCCAAGAACTGCCACTCTGTCTCTCTGTTAGTCCCATCTGCCCTTAACAGCCCCATTGATTCAAGGGTCCTCAGTCATGTCTTCTGAGCTCTCTTCTAAACATCTGTATCAATTAGCTAGAGCTGCAAAGGGGAGATCAAATTATCAGGGCATTGTCTGTGAAGATCTCGACAGAAATGAATTAATAATGTGATCCATCAGATCACCAATACACTGAGAGTGAGGATGGAAGCCACAAGGGTTATGTGTGGCTTCATGGGCATATGATTTGTGTAGCTGCAGCAGGCCCCATGCTCATCCTGAAATTCTCAATAAAGTTTGAATTATTTTTGTTTTGCAAAATTGTGTAGGTGGTTATTATGACCAGAGAGTTTTGATCAGAGTGATACAAACTGTTTTGTTTTAAAAGGCCTACTCCAGGTTTTATGTTCAAAAGAACCTATAGGAAAGGTAAGGGTGGAAATGAAAAACAGCTAGGATGCTGTTGATATAAACAAGGTAGGAGATGATAGTGGCAAATGACACCAGAAGGAGGGACCAGTTAGAGTCCATTTGTCTGCAACTGCAACATGGGTACCCAGCAACATGCCTGTCTGAGGCAGCATCCCAGACAGCTGGCTCCTCCTGCCTACCACTGGTTCCTGCCCAATTTCCATGCTGGTACCAAATGGGAATTTAAAAAAAAGAAATTAGGGGGCATTCCCCAAATCTGGATCCCCTACAATGGAGAAAATGAGCTGCTGAAGGAAAAAAATGAAAGAAGGGACCTAGCTAGATCAAGCATCTTCTGTGTTAGGTGACTGTAGTCGGAACTTATTATATATTTTCTTACTGATTCCAATTAAAAGATAGGTGTAAATGTTAGTCCTCCCCGACCAAAAAAAAAAAAATCAGTATGGGTTCAGCAAGGTAAGATGTACTAAAATTTACATAAATTAAAAAAACATCTAAAATACCTTTAAGACCCGCAGAATACATTCCTCAACTCTCCGTAAGGAAAAAAAATTAATTTTTCAGACTTGTTATTATTTTAGATGCATATCTAAATTTGTATAATTATCTTTATATTTAAGCTGCAAAATATAAAAAAAAGTCATCACTATTTAGTTTTCAAGTAATCAAATAGAAAATTCATCAGGCTATGCTAAAAATGGCATTATACAAGCAAGAGTAAGTTAAATACCACTAAGTTTAAAGTTTATACTTCCTAATCTAAAATCTTAAGAAATAGTTTCTTCAACGTGCTCAGAAATTTCTCTGAAATGACAAACATGGATGATACCAATTCCCAACCTAAAGGGCTTATGTCAGCTACTCACCTTCTTCTGAAGAACATTGATTTTTCTTTCCTTCACTTCTAACATGTCCTTCATGTCTCGAATCTCTCCAGCCAGTGTCCCCTTCTCTTCCGTTAGGTCCTGCAGCTGTTTTGTTTTTTTATTGAGAAAAGATTCTTTCTCCTCCAATCGTAACCTCAGCGCATCCACCTGAAGTCAGGAAAAAGAAAGAAGAGGGCAGTTTTACAAAGCGGTCATCAGTAACCATCAGTCATGCCCTGGGAGGAAGTGGGGCAGCAGTGTGCCTTTTCAGCACAGCATGGTCAAACCATTGCTCATGGTCATCTCAATGCCATGTGTTTTAACAGTCTGTGTCTACTAGGGGAGGAGCTAGATGACAGAGGAGTAGGAGAACTAAATTTCGTCTGGTCCCAGGAATTCAGCTAGATAGGATCAAACCATTCTGCACACCTACGAAATCAACAGGAGGTCAAAGAAAAGAATAGCAGCAACTTTCTGAAAAGAAAAGCAACAACTTTCTGGAAGGTAGGAATGCGGAGAAGTGAATCCGAGGCGATATTCGGGAACATAGACAGCGGGGGAGGGGGCCTCTGTCAGCCACTACCGGCAAGTGATAGAGCCCTGGAGCACAAAATAGGAACTTTTAGAAGTCGGCTCCGCTGAGGGAAATCACTCAAGTAGCTAAGCGGGAGTTGGAACCCTCGCTGGGACAGTGTGGTCTCAGGACCCTCGGGGTCACAGAAAGACCAAGGGTGCCTGAGTGAGGAAGAGCTCTCAGATATCGGGGGAGGGAAGCCAGCTGCAGAGACGGAGCCGAGGAGCGGGCTCTCAGCTCGGGGTTGCCATAAACTGTGATCCGCGGCACAGTCGGGCCACTGCTCCTCCAAGAGGGGACCCAACAAGCGGCAGATCCTGGGAGACTCCTCTTCCTCCCCCAGGAGGAGCGGCGCAGGAGCGCACCGCAGGGATCTGCTGGGTTTGGAGACTCCACACGGGGTCGGGTGCCAGACAAAGAAACGCTGGGGCACAGGCCGGGTGAGCACGGAGTGCGGCCGGAGACCGGGGAGATGGGAGTGACTGACTACTTTTCTCTGGGGGCGCACTGAGGAGCGGGGCCCCGAGTTCTCGGCTCCTTCCGGTGGAAATTGGGAGACCACCATTTTCACTCTCGTCCTCCAAAGCTGTACAGAGAGTTTGCAGGGAACAAAAGCTCCTGAGAGCAAACCCGAGCAGCTTGCTTAGCCCGGGGCAATTGTCGGGGCAATTCCGCCTCCGGCAAAGACATTTGGGAACCACAGCAACAGGCCCCTCCCCCAGAAGATCAGCAAGAACAGCCAGCCAAGACCAAGTTTACCAATCAATGAGAAAGGCAGAATTCCAGCGCTAGGGGAATACCGCACATAGATTCATGGATTTTTCCCGCTGATTCTTTAGACTTTCAAAGTTAATTTTTTTAATTTTTTTTCTTCTACTTTTTCTTTCTTTTTTGAATTTTTCTTTTTCCCTTTTTCAACCAACATCTTATCAATAGCTTTTTAAAACGCTTTTTTATTTTTCATTTTTAGAGTCATATGCTATCCCTTCATTGCAGTTAATCTTATTTTTGGTATATATATAAGTTGTTCTCTCTTTAAAATTTTGGGATACAGTTTCTTCTAACAGACCAAAATATACCCTAAATCTCTACCGTATATCTTTGTTCTACTCTCCTGCCTGATCACATTCTCTCCCCCTTTTTTTTAATTTCTCTTCTTTCTTTTTTCAACCAAATTCTTATCAATTCCTTTTATAAAATCTTTTATACTATTCATCTATACAGTCATATTCTATCACTTCATCATATTTACCCTTATTTTTCTACATATGTTTTTCTTTCTTTAAAATTTCTTTCTTTCTTTAAAATTCTTTAAAAAAGGAGGCAGTTTCTTCTAACAGACCAAAATATGACCAAAATCTAGTGTGTGGCACTGATGCACAGTGCATCTGTGGCATCTATTCATCAGGATGATCATATCTGATCATATTCTTTCCTCTTTCTTCCTTTCCCTTTCTTTTCTCCGGTTTCAGGTCTCTTCTGATTTGTTTAGTGTATATTTTTCTGGGGTCGTTCTTACCCTGTTAGCATTTTGTTCTCTCATTCATCTATTCTCCTCTGGACAAAATGACAAGATGGAAAAAATCACCTCAACAAAAAAAACAAGATGCAGTACCAACTGCCAGGGACATAATCAATACGGACATTAGTAAGATGTCAGAACTAGAGTTCAGAATGATGATTATAAAGATATTAGCTGGGCTTGAAAAAAGCATGGAAGATACTAGAGAAACCCTTTCTGGAGAAATAAAAGAACTAAAATCTAACCAAGGTGAAATCAAAAAGGCTATTAATGAGGTGCAATCAAAAATGGAGGCTCTAACTGCCAGGATAAATGAGGCAGAAGAGAGAATTAGTGATACAGGAGACCAAATGATGGAGAATAAGGAAGCTGAGAAAAAGAGAGAGAAAAAACTACTGGATCACAAGGGCAGAATTTGAGAGATAAGTGATACCATAAGATGAAACAATATTAGAATAATTAGGATCCCAGAAGAAGAAGAAGAAAGAGAGAGAGGGCAGAAGGTACATTGGAGCAAATTATGGCAGAGACCTTCCCTAATTTGGGGAAGAAAACAAACATCAAAATCCAGGAGGCACAGAGAACCCCTCTCAAAATCAATAAAAATAGGTCAACACCCCGACATCTAATAGTAAAACTTACGAGTCTAAGAGACAAAGAAAATGTCCTGAAAGCAGCTTGGGACAAGAGGTATGTATCCTACAATGGTAGAAACGTTAGACTGGCAACAGACCTATCCACAGAGACCTGGCAGGCCAAAAAGGACTGGCATGATATATTTAGAGCACTAAACGAGAAAAATATGCAGCCAAGAATACTATATCCAGCTAGGCT